TATTCAAAAGAGAACCGAATGGAGGCCCGAAGCCTTAAGCAATGGTGATGTCAGTGCATGTTGCGTTTCGGCAAGAGCCTTCTGTTGCTGCTTCTGATGCAGCAAAATAGCCATCAAACAGGAAGCCCAGATAGCAGCAGAGGTTTGCAACGAGTTACGCTTGGGGCCTGATTTTATTTTCAGATATCAGCAGACCACCTCAGCTTTTGCCCTTGAGATAGCGAGGCCTCGATGCACTTGCTCCTCGGATGGCATTCGGTCAGCTGCACCACGAACCACGGCACAAGTTGCAGAACTCCAAGGTGATAGTCGCCGGCCCAAAGGTTCCGCATCCTCCAATGTTTCAATGGAGAAGGCATCGCATGAACTCAGATCCGCCGTAAGTTGCTGGAGGACCTCTCGTGGGCGGCGACCTTGGCGACCGCCTTCACGGAGGAGGAGCGACCAAGAACTGCGATGGTGCTGACGGTAGTGCATGTCTGCATGTCCGCTCGCACAGCTGGTCTGGAATTGGAACTTCAGTTTAGCTGAGAAGACAGTCTTCTACTAAGCCACCAAAAGAGGCCAGTTGAGGCTCCGTTGGATGTTGCCGGGGTCCAGAACCGTCTAGGCCCTTGTCCCGAGTGGGTTCCACCCGAGCCGAGGGCTTCAGGGATCTTCAGGGGAATCGGAGTGCAGTTCCTTGGTCCACAAGCCTCCCTGCAAAGCATCAGCTAGCTATGACGTCCACACAAGATCCACCGGGGGCTCAGGCCGCGCGCCTCGGCGCATAGAATGGGAAGCGGGTTGATCTCAGCCAGGCAGTTAGATTGTATGCCACCTGGCCAGGAGCTCTGCAGAACAAAAGTCATCGGCGTGCCGCACAGTGCAGACCTGAGTCATTGGACGTACCTTCGCCGAGACATGTGTGCTGTAGGACCTGAGACGTGCTCATGTGCAGGCAAGAATTTGAATTTGTACGTCAAAAGGCATGGGGCACAGCTTCCGGCATGGTTGCAATATGTGCATGCGTGTAGTGGAGCAGCAACGGGCCCACGAAATCCCATCAAATGATATGGAAGGGCTCATACCAAGTGGGATGTTGTAGGTCATGTGTCTTAAATCCAGAAGAACTCGCGCAATCCCAAGCCCTCCTTTACAGGCAGTCCGGGGTGCGCTGCGCGGGGCAGAGGCCACAAGGAACGACAGTTCTGGAGTACCGAGAGCGCCAGGCGCAACACCACGAAAGAAAGAATCCCTTAGAATGGATGCGCGAAGCCTCGCGAAGCCTCGCGAAGCCATGCGAAGCCATGCGAAGCCAACCGATCCAAGAGCAACCGCAGGAAATTCTTGTCAGATGCCACGTTTTCGCCGAGCGAAGCAGCACGATTTGGGACCACAGAAAGTTCGCAGGACCCAGGCATAAGGCCGCGATGCAAAGAGCAGAAATAGCCCCACCATGCCCCGCCCCCCCCCCCCCCAACTAAAAAAAAACGAACATCTCGTTCATATCGTTCATTTCTGGGCCACGGAAAGCAACTGCTGTTGTGAGTTGTGAGCCCAGGATTACATTTGCGATGAGCAATGTCCAGCAATGTTTTTTTTTTCATCTTAGCAGTAAGGGGCGCCAGGGGCGGGGGGGGGGAGGGTCGGGTTGCAAGCCTTTATTTCTGTGCTAGTAGCACAGCTCCATGGTTTTGGGGTGTCTGGAGGCTGCACCGAAGCCAACACACAAGTGGAAGCCAAGCCCGGCTAGGCCGAAAGAAGGCAAACAATCAACACTTGAGCATTTCAACTGGTGCTTCCTGGTACCACAGCACTCTCTAACCAAGGTACATGCCACTGACGCTCGGGTTCGACACTGCGCGGCGTTTGCTCAGCGAGGCTTGACACCTTCTCGAGGAGTCGCTTGTTGGGGGATCTCATTCATGGCAGGTCGCAGGGAACATCTTCGTCGACGCCCTCAGTTCAAACAAGCAGCCTGACAGCACAAACAGATGCCGCATAGCTGCCGATTATAATGCCTCTAGTGTTTGCACCTGAATCTGGGAAGGTACTGGCACTTCATCCGCTGCGGGGAGGACTGGGCATGCCCTGGCTGCCTTTGTTGGGGTGGTGGGTGTTGGCAACGGACGAAGGACGCCCTCACTGTCGAAGTGGCGCTCCAAACTCGCAGCAATTTCTCTGCACTCCCCGGCATGTTTTTCGTCACATTTCGTCACCATCGTACGTGGCGTGTGTCGTAGAATCATTTCGTATCGTGTCGGCGTCAAGGTCCGCAGATGTGACCCGCCATGCGCCCGCACCGATACACCGGTACCTGCACCGATGCCCAGCAAGAGGCACAGGAGCGTGGGGTGGGATGGGGTGGGGCGGGTGCGTGGAGGGGGTGGGTGGGGGCCTCTCTTCCGCCGGGCCTGGCGACGGCGCCATCAGTCATCGGCATCTCGCTGCATTTGCCTTGCGTTGGCGTATTGGCGCATCGGTGTATTGGCGCGTGGGTGTATTGGCGCGTCGGCGTGTTTCCCTTCTGGGACGCGAGCGGCGCATGGGCGTAACGATGTGCGCCTAGTAAACGAAAGCACACGGATACTGAAGATGAGAGAGTTAGAGTGCGCTTCTCTTCTCTGTCAGTTGACAGCCGCAACTAAAGGTTTTGATTTCCTGTCGGTGGCTCACCTCTTGGTTTTCAACTTCTTAGAGTGCTAGGCACGCCCGTGGCAGATCACAACTGCCTGCAAAACATTGGAAAAGATGTTGCAACTGCTTGCAGCCGATGAAGTTAACTTTCATGCCAACCGCAGTATTCATCCAAAGCATGGCTTCGACCACTTAGCGTAGTGAATGCTCCAGGTCCTCACAATGGGACGGCAAGCTCACCACATTTCTGATCAGAAGGTCAGCGCCCGCGACGAATTCAAGAGAGTGGCTGCCGCAAATCTTCGCTCTCAGGAGACTCTGATGCAAACTGTCACCAATATCTGCGAGGCCTTCATGCAACCTGTTGTGAACATTTCATTTTCTCTTGTGGCGGCTCATAGAGGTCGTCCAGTCCAGAAGACGGTCTGGCAGACACTCCGGTGTCGGGCCTCCAAGTCGCTTCAAGCCAGCAGCTCCTCAAACTGCTAGCTTCCACCGCAGCTAGCACAACTGCAAGCGCAAATGCAAGCAATGTGAGTAGGCAGCATGATGAAGAAGTTGATCCAAATTCTGTGCAGGTGGTGTTGATCAGTCGCCAGCTCATTGAAACGTTGCCGGAGATGGACGGGCCAGCGGCAGCTGAGCCGACCAGATTTCGCGCGCTTTCCGAAATTCAGCCTTTTCCTTCCTTTTCTCCAGGACCAGCTCAAGGCAGAAATCGCTGCAATTGTCAAGACTGAGGCTGGCTCATGAAGCATTCACTACCGTTCCCTGATCGAACGACGCACTGGCTCAGGCTGCGGACAAGAACCGGCAGCCTTTTCCAACCGAGGCCCGCTCCGGGGATAGCAAAAGCAACAGCGCATGCTGGTTTGCCAGGGTTTGCCCTGACATTTTTGGCTTCTTCATCACAGCGAACACCACACTCGTTGAGCTTGCGGATGTGGGACTATTCCTGTTACATGGCGCGCATTCTTTTCATGCTGTGTGCACTGCTAGCGCTGTCCGATGCGAAGATCAGATGCACGAGGTGGACTCGCGCTTAAAGTCAGATGCCACCAAAGCGCTATTCAAGCGTCTGCCCCGCTTTGCCGGGGCCACAGCTTCAAGGCAACCTCGCGCAGATGGGCAGCGAACGCCAGCATTCTTTTACGAGCATAGGTACAGATGAACATGATTCGCAGTCGCGACGGTGGTGGCCTCAAGACGGTACCAACGAGCGAACTATGGTGCTTTGCCGAATGGCAATTCAGTAACTAGCACCTGTGGCAGCATGGTGAACTTGGTACGCCTGTTCTAAGCATCTGGACTACCAATCCTTCCCAAAGACCTGGAAGCTGCTGCCACCTCAGTTGCAATCCATCAACAATCGGTAGGACAAGCTGACGTGATTGCCAGGAACGCATTCTCGGCCGCTTTGTCCAGCAGGAACTTCGCCTCAAGCCTCCTATCAAGAAGGACCGCTTGGAAAAACTTGTATCTTGCCTGGGTAGTTGGTTGTCTGCTCGCCGCTGTGCGAGGTAAAGGCCACTTTCGCGCCGCGCTTTCATGCCATGGACTTGATGACTAGTTCGCCTCTGCCGCAGTCCGAGCATTGTGTGCGTTGTCAGCTTGGCCTGGCCAACTTTGAAGTAGCTTCAACACATTTCAGTACGGGCATGCGTGGCATGCTCGCTGCATGACTTGCCATCCAGATTGTTGCACAGTTTTCTGGCTGCCGCCGCTTGCCAGGCCCTCTGCTTTCGACTGTGCTTTTGGGCACGATCCCTGCGGACTCAATGCTTAATGATGCACCACGACCCTACATCTGCTGATGGGAGGTATGCTTTGGGACACACAGCCGCGTTGCTCGTAAACGAGCGTCGGAATTTTTACGTCGCCTGCTGTGCAGGCATCTTGCGGCCTAACTGTCAACTGTTAGTTACTGTTAGTTGTTAGCACTGCGCACCTGCCTGCAAGGCATGCACCGAAATACACGCTTTTGGGAGCCGTGTGCCATTCCTTTCGCCTACTTGTACCCGGAGGTTTGCCTTGCGGAGTGCTAGCCTGTGATATTCCTGTGATGCAGCATGAGAACCCGAGCTCTGGCTCAATCTGCAGCACAATTTTGGCGTGAAGTCTAAGTTTCATTCTGCCGGAAGTCACTGAATGCTGACGCGGTTGCATGCCAGATATGCCAGAGTACAGTTCTCCCTCAAAAATGTAGCCTCGTTCGACTGCCATGGCAGCTCCCGTCTTATCAAACCTGAAGAAAGATCGCTGCGAGGATGTTGCCGCTTGCTCCCAAACAGTCTCGTCCAGGCGTTTCTTTTCGTGATTGTGCGTCGCTGACTTCTTGTGGACCTAGGTCGTTGCTTCTCTGCTAAGCCGGGCTTTAAATTAGTAGACCCGCAATCGAGTCTGCGTGAGCTGGATGACAGAGTTAGAGGAGAGCTGCGAGAGCTTTGTTGTTCCACAACAGCTTGACTTGCACAGAGTGGTTTGAGTTGTCGTTGTGCTTGCTGTGCGCAGGCGGGCTCTCGCTCTTAATTAGTCTTAGCCTGTGTGCTTCGCTCTCAATCCTGCTCGCTTCTGGTCATCGTTTGGGTGCTCTTTTGGCTCTCTGAACCAGTGTGTGGGCAGTCGGTTGTTGGCCGACAAGAGGACCAAATGAGCCTCTTCTTGAACCGAAATTGGCGATTGCAGCACTGCTTGCTTAGGTGACCAAAGTGGCCCAGTCAAGGTTTCGACATCAGAGCGATTGTACTTTGATTGCAAGAATTTGAAGTTATTGCGCATCTATCATCTGGCATGCCCATGCACATCACGAGGAACACGACAAGGAACACCATGTCAGGGATCGCTGAACAACTCTGAGACTGGAGGTGGGCGCCCCTCCTGCCCACAAGCATGGGGAGGCTGTCGCGAGTGCTGTTGGCGGCTGTTGCATATCTAGTGCCAGAATTCGTCCCGATGCCTTTGAGAGGAGCGAGTTCTTTGTGAAATGCACGTATGTCGACTTTCGTTCACCTTCTATGTTTCGGCCGCATTGCACCACAGAGTTCAAAGACCTAGTTTTTAATTCCAGGACATCCTGGCTGCACCCTGTCATCTGACCTCCACAGTCTGCCTGTAGAGTGTATCACCTGCGAAAGGTCTGATCAAGCAAAGTGCCCTGCATCGGCACTGGCGCGGAGCGCTGTACAGCCTGTTTGCAATGCATGTGCAGGTGGCATTGGGCATGCAAAGGGGCTGACATGTGCTGACTCCACTTTGGCTTTGTGGGCAGGGCTTCAAACCCAACACAGTTGCCTGGAACCTGGCTACGGCAGCCTGTGGCAGATGCCAGAAGTGGCAGGCGACTCTCAGGCAAGAACTCCCGTGACTGCAGGGTTGCTGCTGCTTCTAAAGCCACAGCCAAATCCCAAGCCAAACAAGCCACAGCCAAAGCCACAGCCCAAGCCAAGCCATGTCACAAGGACGAGCACATTTACAGCATTTGCAGCCTTTAGGAGGCTCGAAATACCGAAATTACGCCATCGGCTGATTTTGGGAGGCGGGGCGAACTGCAAAGGAAAAGAAAAACCAAACCCACCTGCAAATAACTGCAAATCCCGTGAGAGCAAGGCCACAACACGAGCACGTGCACATCAAGAATACTTGCATGAACGGGGCGGGGTTCTGCAAGCTGCTGCGAGCACCTTTGCATCATAATGCAAAGCCTAGATGCAGATGGATGAGCGCACTGTTGCAAAGGGGCGGGGCTCCAGGTTGGCAGTAAATGCAGTGTGCGGAGACGTGGGTCGAATGTGTCATTGTTGGTCCAAGTTCGTTTTTGGATCTCCAAAGTTAGATTTGTTCTTTGCTCCTGATTTTTTGATACCTCGCCCTTCATGCCGCGTGCAATAGTCCGCGGGCTTCTACCGTGCTAGTCGTCGCCTGCATGCAGGTTGATGACCACTGCAAGTCAAGCCGCAGATCAAATAACGTGCGCAGTTTCCTGTTGTTCAACTGCTCGATCTCGTAGACTGAGAAGTCGTGCATGTGCATGGGGTATGAACACCCGTGATGCTGCAAAGGTACAACACAGCAGCCAAGCTGACTTGTGAAGTCGGACGGTGGGAAGTTGGACACAGTCGAAGCCTTCGATTCGGAGGACAGGATGTCATGATGGTTTCAATCTGGGTGTTTGGACAAGGATGCATCGCTGGTGCATCGGAAAGGCGAATAGAGCCGGATGCGGCCTCCACCTCACTCCCTGATGCACGCAGAACCAGAGTGTGGATGTGATACAAGTATGATACAAGTATGATGTGATAAATCTATATGACGTGAAGAGGTCTCTTTCAACATTCTGTTGCACGGCAGCGGGAAGGCTAGCAGCTGGTCGATGTGCTTGCATGAATTCGTGACGGCCTCATGCTTTGCTCACTTTGCTCTCATGCTTTGCTCCAAAGTGCGTTGTGTCACTTTGATTCACGTACTGCCTATGCTGCCGAGGCAGTCCTGGAAAGTTGTGATGCAACTGCCTGCACGTCAGCGTTGAGTGCTTTGTGCTCTGAGCTGCAGTGGCAAGCAGGACGCAAGCCCCCCTGCTTGTTCAAGTTTTGATCCATTTTGATCCATCTCCACCACAACCCGCTTGTTCAAAGGAATGAATCTTCTTGAAGAATTCTTCTGCTGCGGGCTTACCGACGCACAATGTGTGACTTTCGCACGGATTCTGTCGGATTCAGGTCAAGCCTTGGAGGCTGACGTGGCCATGGTTGGGACGGGGATTGCCGCTATCTCTGCGAGTGACAGGTGGCATTGCTCGTGCTTGCCTTGGATGAAGAGGGAACATGAGGCGATGTCCTGGATCGTGAAGCCTTGGAATGGTTGCATCTGTCAGGCTGAATTTGTTTTCGCTACTTCACTCTCGCACCCTGCGTGCCGACAGCATATGCTTGGGAGCATGTGCGAATGGCTTCGTGCAGCGCGCGAACTGGTTCCAGGCCACATCTCGACAGTCTCGACCCTCGACTTGCTGCAGTGTTTTAGCTGTAGTTTTGGCCAGGCGGTTCATCTTGGAACGCTGCTTATGGCGGAGGTCCGGTCTCACTATGTCTCACTATGTCTCACCTGCTCCAAGGCATGCAGCAGACCCCCAGAACTGCAAGGACCTGCAACTTAACCGCGTCTTCTGCAATTCAGTGCTCGGCGGATTCCAGAAGTGCGGGCGTGGGTCCCCCAGTGAGAGGCCATGCTACGCAAGGCGTTGAAGACCGCATCTGTATCTGACACGCATGAACAGCGCTCATAATTCTAAACCGACTGGTGACCGGTTGATTCTTTACAGTGCTTTTTGGGTTTCAGTGTCAAGTAGTCGTCAACGAGGCTTGGATTTGAAATATTGAAACATTTTCGACACAAACCATGCGGAACCCTGCGGACATGCCGGAGGGAAGTGAGGCGGAATCCAGGAAAGATTTTACGTGATTTTACTTACGCAGACGAGAGAGTTTGTAAGCCGGAAAAATTTTGAAAGCCGCCATGATACGGAAGCAACGACGAAATCGAGACGAGAGACGCAGAGGAATACAATATTGAAGCCGAAGACAAGCACACTGTCAAAGCCCAACGAAGCGGAAGCCTTCATTTGCAATGTTTCAAAGCGCACGCGAGACAGAAATGTAATTGACGTGCCCGTGTAACATGGTAGCCGCCACGAGCCCGAACATAGACTCAACATTCCGCTTCCCTATCTCCTCCTGGATCTCCTGATCTGTTTCTGACATCTACTCAGGATGTGGCCCGACACAGATGATCTTGACGACCGTTGGCACGTGTGCAGCGCAGAAAAATGCAGAAACATTTCGGAGGCATCGATGACAGTTAATGACAGTTGCACTGGTCGCGGGACACGAGCGGCGCTTTTCGCAGAAACGCTTCGCAAAGAACGGGCGGGGCGGGCGGGGAGGCACCCGTTTTGCCCAGGAGCAGCCCCGAGCTCCCGCTCTCTAAATGCGAACGAAGTTGGCAAAGTGACTCACTTCATGCAGAGCACCACGGTGAGTCCGTGAGTCCGCAATGCTGGTTTCGACCTGGGGTGAGTGAACATGAAGTGAGAAGAAGGCAAATCACGGCTATGTAAAATTCAAAGCAGTTCAAGTGGAGCTGAGTTTTATGAAGAGATACAACTTCTCAATGTGTACGCATACGAAGGATCTTTTTTTTGGAAAAGCAGGGAAGGGCTTCAGGCTTAAAGGGCCATGGCTTCAGGAAGCTTGCAGAAAATCCACATCCAATCCAAGAATCCAAGTTCTCCGGCGCGTGTCGTTGGGAAGGGGGAAGTCAGCCCATTCTGTTACATGTAGCGCACAATGGTACACGTTTCCTGAATGGTTTGTACAGTGTTTGTGTGTGGGACTGAGGCTGGGAGTCTTTGGGAGTTATGCTGCGAAATGCTGGCGGTGGGTCCAAAGCCTAAGCCTGGAGCCAGGACATGCTGACACAGTCGCCAAATGTCGCCAATCTCAGGCCTGACCTCGTCGCGATGAACACTGCGGTTGCCGCCTGTGAGAAGGCAGTCCCGAAATGGTCCTGCAATCAGATGTCTTCTTTGCACTGAACATTTACTGAAGTTGGTCGGCTTCATGGGTTTTTGTGTGACTGCTCGCTCCTTGCCAAAAGGCGCAAGTTCTCCACAAATTGTATAGTGTATGCCCCCCCCCCCCCCCCTAATAATAGGTGGATGGGGGGGGGGGGGTTTACCCGCCGCGGCACCTATTTAGGATAGGTGGGGCGCCTATTTGGGGAAGGGTGGGGGACCCTAACAAAAATAGGTGGCGCAGTATGTTTTCGGATGTCTACCACCTATTTCTTGAAACACTAATAAGCCGGGCTCGATTTGATACAACATTGAAGAAAATACAGAGAGAGCGTGTGTGTCGTAGCATGTATGTAAAGATGTGCACATGTACATACATAAACATATACGTACATAATATGCGTATCCTCTTTATGTATAGAAAAATGCGTAAGGATATGTGTAGACCTCTCTCTCTCTCTCTGCCCTCAAGCAGTCCTCCATCGCAAGGAAGAACGAGAAGAAAAGGAGACAAGTGCAGAAAGTAAGCAATCAGCAGCACCCAAAGGAAGCCCGCAAAAAACATAAAGTAAACACTAAGGTCCCAGAAAATGCAGAAAGCAAGCAGTTGAGAGCCTGGAGCCGGATCCTTTCCAACCCAAACGAGGAAATCCCTCGTTTAGATTGAAGAGAGGGAGAGAGAGAGAGAGAGAGAGAGAGAGAGATCGGCGCACAAAGGAATGCCCCAGCAAAAAAACAGTAAGCAATGAGCGCCCAGACAGATGCAGAAAGTAAGCAGTCGAGACCTTGGAGCAGGATCTTTTCCAACCCAAACGAGGAAATTCCTCATTTGAACTGGAAAAAACTAAGAGACTTTTAGATGCGCGTACAGAGAGGAGAGCGGATCATCTCTCTAGCAACACATATGTAGAAACACAGGGAGAGGTAGAAATGTGTTTTCAGTCAAGAAACAAGACCCAGTGCGGGCTAGCAGGAAATACGTGGCTCGGAGGGCGTCCCGTGTCTACTTGTGGGAGGATGGGCTCCTCTCTGGTGTGCTGAATGCAGGAAATACGTGGCTCGAAGGGGGTCCCGTGCAGGCCTGTAGAAGGAAACCCACTTGTGGGAGGGTGGGTCCCCCCCCCCTGATGACCTCCATAGAGAGAGAGAGAGAGAGAGAGAGAGAGAGACAGTATGCAGTCGAGAAACAAGACCCGGTAGGGGCTGTGCCGAAGTGGCTCGGTGGGGGGCCCCCCGTGTAGGCCTCTAGAAGGAAACCCAGTCGTGGGAGAGTGGGTCCCTTCCCCTCCCCCTGCCCCAAATGGAGTCACAATCCAGCTGTGTAAAGAGTTAGAGCTGCGAAAAGCATGTTTGGCCACACTTGAGCAAAACTAGGCAATAGCTCTCACCCTTTCTGATACCTCACTCGGTCTCCAGCGGGCGTTGTAGTCACACTTTGCTATGACACCTTAGCCCTTCTTGGGCCAGACGGGCTGAACAGCACAGCGCCAGGCACAGGCACAGGCGGGGTTGTGCGGCTGAGAAGAAGAAAGAATCGGATGCCGCAACATGATGTGGCCTGTCCCTCTGTGTGTTCGTCTTATGTGAGGTAGCACACCAACAATGATGATTGTTAGGGTGGTCCCTCCCCCCCCCCGAACCACCCCCCTCCAGAAATAGGCATGCCCCCCCCCACCTCCCCCCCCCGTTAGGGGGTGGGCATATAGTGTGGACTTGGTCTGACTCAATCCCCTTTCCTTTTGCTCGAGCTTGTTTCTTCGATGGAATCGGCCATTTCCCTTTTTCATGCTGCTGGCTTCCTGCGTCACTTTCTCCACCTATTGGCAAGTTTTGGAATGCCTTGATTTGCTCCATCAGCATTGTGAACATGGTCTCTCTTTTTTGTCCAGACGATAGGTGTGACTCCCTGCCGGCCTCGTCAGGGCGAGCTCACCAAACCTACGAAAGTCTGCCATGAATTGCCATGAGTGTTCATCCCATGCCCTGTGAATTTTCGCTTGGAATGCAGGGCTCGATCTGGCAGCAAGCAACGTTGCTACTTGAGGAAGCAAAGGTGTTGGATATTCAGCCGGCCTCTATCTTAGCATCTTCGCTGCTCTGCACTTGTGCAGCAGGGGGCTGCCCGGCCGAGTCGTTTCCCTGACAGCTTGCATCCAGGACGCCATTTTTGGCAGCGCAGTTCTGACTGCTTGCCGTGGGCTCAAACCAGGTTGCTGTGGCACATGCAGTGCATGTGCTCAACTTTTGTGGCAGCCCAAATTGAATACACAGTAGTGGCTGTCGATTTTTTCCAAAGAGTTGACCATAGAGGTTCCTTGGCCATTTCTACGGTTGTTTCCTCTTCCATGCGGGGTGGGTGGGGTCTGCCGGTGCTTTCGGAGGCTATGCGGGGTCTTGGGAGGGGGGGGGCTACCCTCTGTGCATACCTGGGGGTTGCCCTTGAGTCCGGTTGGCGCTCCCGCGTGGTTTGGTTTCCGTGGCGGTTTCATTGGTGTGGGTGGTGTCACGTTGCTGGCCACGAGCCGCGGTTTCTCAGCATGTTGCTCTTCCAATCGTCAAGTTGCCGCTTCTGCACCCAACAGATCCCAACAGATAGGCTTTCATTATCTCACCTGCATGCAAGGAAGATCTGCAAAGCCACGGCAACCAGTCGGTTCTCCCGAAAGGGCTTTGGAGCCACGAGTAAGACCTCGCAAAGTTATAGTTTGAGAATCACGAACTCCATCATGCCATCCACCCATGTCTCATCCATCACGACGTTCACCCCTGCATCAACGATACAACGAGATATAACGAACAACCTTTCCGAAGACCACCTCAGCAGAAGGCAACAAAAAGAACTGCCTGCACTAAGCTTCGGTTTCAGCGCTTGATTGGGCGCTGAGCTCCCATGCATGCAGTTCTTGCTATTTTTCGACACGCGAGCTGAAAGCATATTGGCACTTTTTGTGCATCGTTTCATCTGAACACAACATGCAGGGTTGTTTTGCGAGAAACTTGACGTCCAACAGCAAAGTGGAATGCTTTGGGGCATAGATTGATTCCCGAATCATCATTTACTGTATAGACGAACAGGTGCTTCAACTCCATCAGGGATAATTTCGGGAGTTGGCAGATCCATCTGGAAAACAGAAGGAGGATTTGCCCCATGCCCTGTGAGGCTCCAGCATCACTACATGGCAGCTTGAACCCTCACCCCAGTTGGCTTGCGCGAGGTCGTTGTTGTCAGCAGGCGCCGAAAACGCTCCTGACCTTGCCTAAAGCTCAGCGTCACGACGCTTCGAGAACGCCGAGAGAGTTGCCGCTAGAACCCTAAAAGAAGCCCAGGACGCCGGCTGCAAGTAGGGGCCGCCCCCCAACCTCCTCACCTCACGATGCCTTCTTCCAAAGCAGAACCCGAAAACAAGTCACGCACTGGACCTAGGCCTCAGCACAACAAATTTGACCACGGAATGTTCACGGGACCATGGCGATAACAAGCCCTTAAACGAAAAATAGTTCTCCCCAGAGCATGTTAAGCAGCTTCCGTTTTCGAGGCTTTGGCAGAGGAACTTCATGTTTGTGCGTAACCTCAGAAAAGTCTTCTGTTGCGCAAAGTTTTCATCAGCTGCCCTTGTTCGGGCTGCAAATATCCTTGCAGTACAGCTTCCAGGCCTTAAGAATACTAGGGCGAGGCTGCCCCCAACTTGCCACTAGTGCTTTTCCACGCCAAGACTTCGGAAAGCTTGGGGTCAAAATTCTTGGGGAAGAAAGCTCTGTCCAAAGAGGCGCTCTCGCAAATTCAAAATGCATGGGCTTTCGCGGGAAGGGGCGTTTTGTGTGCCTTCGTTTTTTTTTGAACCCTCCCTTTGAGAAGCTCTTAGTGCTGTTTTAAGCCTCTAGCCCGGTCTTCAGCTGAGCGAAGCTTAGCATTTATTCCTAAGCTTCAAGCAAAGCTTGTGAGGAGCCTTTCAACCTTCGCCGGGAAGACTTACGACTTGTTTGGCCCCGTGTTTTCCTGGCTTACAACGTTGAGGGCGTGTTTAGTCGCCAGGACCACACTCCGAATATCGATTTGGCAGGATAAAGATAAGGCATCTAAAGGCTGGCAGATTCTGGGGCCAGACTGCCCTGCACATGCCACACTTTCCTGGCACGATCCTGCGGGCCCATTTCAATTCCAGCGAAGGTTCAGCGGCTGTTGGCGGCAGGGTGTTCGCACAAGGTTGCTTCCTGCAGTCTTTTTGTTTATTAAATGCCTTTGCGAGGGCAGAGGGGGCGTCTCAACGCACAGCAGGCAGTCAACATCCTTGCATATGCTGGCACATACGAAGTGAATATTTTGAGCTTTCCGGGGCTCGAGCAGGTCTTTGCAACTTCTGCCAGTGGACCAAGGTCAGGATGCAGCATCGTGGCAACTGCAACTGCAACATTTCTGGGGTTTTTGTGGTGAAGGCGAGACCCCAACAATGATTTAGATTTCGGTTATAGAGCAACATGCCGCATTGGCCATGCATGAGGCTGCCATGAGCCACGTGCAGCCTTGTGCAATTCAGCATGTCGGCTGCAGGTTAGCAGGGCATGGTCTCAAAAACAGACATTGCATCGCCTGATGATAGCCAAGGTTCTAAGTGCTGGTGTTGCATGGCAGCCGGCTTTGCACATCATTGGGCAACTTTGTCTGTGGCGGCTCCGTCCAGCAGCGGCAAGGCGCTTACTTTGGTTCCGATTCGAAGCGCTCACGGGACTGCTGTGCATGCATGACCATATTGCTGCTGTAGCTGTTTGGCGGAATCAAGGTGGCTTGCGGAGCCTCTTTACGGTGCTTCTCCGCCGAAGGCCAAAAGTATCGGGCTTCTTTCATTACCGAGTTCGTTCTAGTTCTGCTCACTATGTCGCATTGTGCAGGTGGCCGCTGGCGTGACGGGATAGAGCTGCTAGACACTTTGCTTGCGGACTGGATCTGGTGGAGTTCGACGATGAAGCAGAATCAGGCCAGGTGAGATGCGTCAGTTGCCTAGCCTCCGCTCCGAAGCCCGCCGCCCCTCGAAGATGACAGAGCGCATGCGCGCCTCATCACATGCCACCGCAAATGCTCGCGCCGTGCACTTCTCCTTCTTGTGACATGGGACCACTTGGAACGTTGGATTCCGGTGTAGCACAGTTCGGATGTAGAAACATCCTGCGGGGTGATCGCTTGATGGAACATTTGGAATCGAGCCTGCTGGCGACACGTTCTTCGGTCAACGCAGTGGCGTTCTACAGATTTTTTGCCCTGCATCCCTTCAGGTATGGTGCTCTGCGCGGATCTCTGTTTTGCTGCCCTGAATCTCTTGCGGTTGATGCTTGAAGCTGATCAGGTTCTTCGTGTCCCAGGCATTTCCTGGAAGGTTCGGCAGAGATTGCCACCGAGCAAACTTCCAGAGTGAGTTTCGGCAGGCATCTCTGGATATCCTCCACACCATGCGCGTGCACATAGCTGAGGCTGATGCTTCTGCCTCGGCATCAAAAAGGGCGCGAGTGTAGCATTTTCTTTATCTGCAGCAGGAGAGGTACTATACGAATATGTACAGCTCAGGCAACACTCCTAGCAACAGTGGTCGCATGGGACTGAGAGCTCTCTGTTGGTATCGAAGTCTGAGCTCTTCAGCGTGTTTTTTGCGCGAAGAACTGAGGAAGCTTGTGACAAAGCCAGCCAGTCCAAAGGACATTCTCGGGACGGAGTGTGCATGTTGAAGATCTGATCGCTACGCTCTGCGACAAGATCTGGAAGCCAGGAAAGCTTCAGCCGTTGCTGGCGGATGTGGCGAGGGAAGCAGTGCTCGGTGCTTGCTTTGATTGTGGTGTGGACGGGTCCAGGGATTCCAGGCCTTTTCGGCAAAAGACTTCTTCTTTCGCTGAGGTCCACCCTGTCGTTGACTGTCTGCCAGGATGAAGAAAAAGACCGACATGCGACACGCAAGGGGAAACATGGGGCAAACGGGTTCAAAAGGGTTTTGCAGGGCAATTCCGACACATCTTGCACAAGACAGACTGCGAACAGCTGCAGTTCCGTGCAGGGTGCGAACAGTAAGCGAGCCTCGTGTCAGGGGCTTGGTTTGCCAAAGTCGGTCACAATCTCCAAGTCCCAAAGACTTGCGAATTGAGGTCCAAACACCCCCATCCCCAAGACGGGCAAGTACGTGAAACCGCACTTGAAGGAGGTCATGCGTGACATTGACGCGTCTCCACTTAGTCCACTTACGTACAGTCCAACAAAAAAAAGAGAGCAACGCTGCTCAAATCCAGACACTCAGCCAGGTTTACAAGTTCTTCCGAGATGAATGGGTCCGGTGCCACATGCAGTACCATACGGCTATAAAGCGTTGTCGTGAAGTATTGGTATTGCTACTTCGTGCTGTCATGCCCAGTCACTGAGTCACTGAGGTCAACTGCAACGTTTTTCGGTCTCCCGGGCCGATGCAGAACGTGACTTAGAGATTTGCCTAGCGCTGTGAACTTTTTGCTCTAGTTGAATGGTCCAGGCTGGATTCCTCCGGTGATGTTGGGCCGCTGCACTGCGCCAAGACACGCATCAGAATGTACTCATTGAACTCAGGTTCTACTGGCATGTGCAACGAGCCGAGGTCTGAGAGGCCCATTACCTTGCTCGCAGACTACTTCAGTGCCTTGGGGGCGCTGAATCTAAATGCCATCACGGACATTCTACAGTATTCCCATCATGTGATGACTGTTTGCAAGCGCCAGAGTGGCAGGTGTGGATGAGCTCAAGCAGATTGTCCAACCGAGCGCACAGCCTGCTCCGCTGATCATGTGCAAGGAGCCGCTAGCCCGTGCCCTAAGACCTTGCCTCGATTTGCATGATCTTGTGTCTCCCAGCGCCGCAGCCACCATCAGCATCCCACCTCGCAACTGTCCATTCTTGTGACTTCTTATCTGCTGGTCAGGTCGTTCGAGATGTTCGCTTGCGCGAGAACTTGAGCTTTTTGGAGCGTAGGGCCTGGCTGCTGATGATCAGGTGAGCCTAAATCACAACAAATGCAAGTGGCCCAAGAGGAATAGCTTGAACTAGCAGAAGAACGTAAGAGTTAGTTAAAGTCACTCTTCCAGGAGCACTTGTTGCCTTATTGCTGGGCATTTAATGAATGGAGCTGGAGGTTCACATTCTTTTATTGCACATGCTTATCTGCTGTTTCGTGCTTACTTACGCATTGATGCATCGCAGCCCGGTGCCAAACGTGATGGAGGGGTCGCCCTGGTATCACTCATGAAGGGCCTTTTCGTTCCCCTGTTCCGATGCTCCCACTTTAAGTCAGTTCTGCGATGCTTGCTCTACTTCTAAGGCAGGAGCGACTGAACTACGAGCCAGCCTTGCCAGGCCTCGGTTGGGCACATGGGTGGTTGTCACAATTATGATCCCGTTTGAGGTACCCTAATTATTAGGTGCCGGATTATAGTAGGGAGCCAAAAAGGGACTATCATTTTGACAACCACCCACATGGTTTGGCATGAGCGAAAGGTTTTCGCGCCTGCCTGATTTAGTAATTTAGGCTACTTGCGCGATCGGGTCACCTGGCAGGCAAGCTTGCTCAGCAGCTTTTACTCTTCATGGGCATGCCGCCAGTGCCACGAAAGCCTTCCGGAGCCCCGCAGGAGGATGAACTGGCACCACACTCGTGTGACAACATTGAGGCACAAGTTTTGCTTCTTGGGAGCTATGTGATGCCGTGCATACTTCGCGTTTTCCTTTTCAGGAGTTGGTCCAGTCTTTCCCTCTCATGCATGCACAGGTGTCGGGGCCCCAGTACCAGCGCGAGAGGACAGTCGTACCACGTTATGCCATACGCCATATTGTGTAGCAGCGTAGAGCAATGTTTCGTAGTCGGACGTGTTGTCGAGCGCGCAAGGTGCGCAATACGACTGGTCCCGCCTATTGCAGTAGAAGGAGATGAGGCAACGAGTAAGCTTCAGCAACAGCTGGGTTGTTGGGTCCAGGGCCTTCGATAAGACATGGGGTCTTTATTGCAGGTTGACACAATGGTATCCGAGCGATCGCCAACATCGATGAGACACACGGCAGTGTTTCAAGCTCAGCCCTTGTCCTGTTCCTCTTGTGACTGCAGTTTCGATGAACGAGGGGATGTCGACAGGACATCTGACTATGGGAAGCCTATGACTGTCGGCATCGTCTTTGCCAGCAGCCAGGCCTCGAAGGGCGAAAGGGGCCAAGGGGCTGACGAAACGCGGCAACAGGACATTGGGCCCCGTCAGGTCCCGGGCTACCATCCGGTCATTGCTGGCCTTTTTGATTACTTGCCATGAGCTTAGACCCCCCCCAGAAGGCTCCAGTGTTTATCGGTGCACTCGGCATCAGAGGGCGGGCCTCAACCAAGAGACCAAGCTCATCGGCTTCTTTTGTGGGACAGCGCCTCAGACAATATGCTTGGCCTGTGTGACAGCCTGCATGGAGCACTGGGGCTTTCCCTCCTCCTCAGTACTGAACTGGATGGGTGCTGTCATGCAGGTTGCAAGATCGTTCCCCCTCTCCCCCTCTCCCCGCCTTCCCGTCCCGGTCCCCGTCCCCATTTCCGTCCTGTGTTTAAACCTCGTTCTCTGAAGCCGCCCCTGAGTGCATGCACGTGCTTGGCAGGTGGCAAAAACAATACCAATGCAAAATCGGGCCGGTGAAAACACAACTCAAAGCCTAAATTTGGGACGAGGCCACCCTAGACCGAAGCAGCAGCGGTGTTGACTGTTGCCTCCCCGAACAGATAAGGGGAGGGAAGGTCTAGGGTTGGCGGGGGGTGGAGAAGAAAAGGTGAGGCGGAGGGAGAAAGTGGTGGAATGGGGAGGGGGAGGGGCGTTGTTTTGGAGACCGGTCCCTGCAGCCGGGGGAGTGGGTAGGGGGTGGGTTCACAAGGTTCCCTACCACTAGGATCTACCTCCGGCCTCGGCGGACTTCCATTTTAGAAGAAGTCCTGTTGTCGTTCGCACAATTTGTTCGCGCACCTTGCCTCTGGCGCCTCGGTGGTTTGCCGGAGTGACGGGGTTGGATTTTCTTGTTCAGGTATGAAGGCCTCCTCAAGGACCTGTGGGCCAGCTCCTCAAAACACAGCGCCTGTCGCTTCTCTCCTTCAGCGCTGTCAGCCCGCTGAGGCGCCGGTCACAAAGGACATGGTTGACCAATTTCGGAACTTGGGCGGGCAGGATTGCGCTGTGAACTCTGTGCCTCGCAGTGTTTTGCTGAATGTTGCGCTGATGTTAGCGTTTTGCTTGCCTGACGAAATCTCAGCTTGCAGCAAGCGCATTGGTATAGACAAACTACCCAGTGCATTGTTTACAAGATATCAGCAGCTTGCAAGCAGTAAGTCGTTTCCTGCAGCTGCAGTTACCACATGCGCTCATAAACACGACACTACCACACTCACCCCGCTTGGCGGGAAGCAGCCATGTGCAGCTCGGCAACCACCTCCCCGTCATGCACAAACAAGATGCATATTGGGCGATGGCAGTGTTGTAGTATCTGGTTAGGAAGGCGCAAGGATGCCTCTCATGCTCCAGCGGCCTGACTGGGCCTAGCCGTGCTCCATGGCATTCGGCACCTTCAACAAAGGCTTCAAAGGCCATGGTTCCCAAAGCTTCCCCATAAATTCCCCCCCCTGCTTGAGTACTGCAAGCAGGTTGTAAAGTCATAGCCAGTGCCAAGCCAGCAAGAATGCATCGTGTGAACGACATGTGCGCATGAGTGCGCTGATTCTGTGGCCTCCTGCACTCCAGGTGGCTTTGGCAAAGGTAGTGCAGCTGCCGGAGGCGGTTTCTGCGAGGAGGTTTCGTTCCAAGTGCCACGCGACTCGTACGCGAGCGTTTAACCTCGGCCAGGACCGCAGCCGAGACTGGCAATGCCCCAATGGGTCGTGTGCAGTCCCCAAATCTGAAAGTGCTGGTGGAATTGAATGGATCTTGTCTTGAGCCACATCAGTGTTCTCAGTGTTTGATCGCGACTGAAGGCAGAGAAAGGAACTTTGTGAAAAGACCTGTGTGTTTCAAGTGTGGCACCCCGAGGCTGTTCATCCGAATTTCACCGAAGTCCAAGAAAATGCCAACACTGCCAACACTGCCAACACTGCCACTGCCAACGCTGCCAATGCCAGGCCAGCTGAGGATGCAAGAAGAGCCTCTCAGCCCCCACCAACGTCGGGGACCACACTCCATGGCATGGCCTCTCGGCACACGCCAGAACAATCAGAAGCTTGTGCTGCTGTATGGCGCTGTGCTGTTGCACGGCATTGCACGGCACCAACGCCGGCTGCGCCGGCCCGTTGGTAATGTTCAGGTGAAAAGCTACAACAAGAAAGGGCCGCGACCCCAGTTTCTGAAATCGTTCTTGCGCTTCATCACGCGTGCAAACAGGTTTGGCTTCATCATGTGCACGGGCAATTCTGACATTCAGGCGGACGCAGCTGTTTATTCAAGTGGCTTCGCTAGGCTTCGCTTTGTGTTTCTGCAAGAGGATCTGTACTTCACGCGAGAGAATGTCAGCTCGCGCCTGCTGCACTCCTGCTTAGAAAGCACGGAAAGTGACTCTCAGTGTCGTCAGAGCAAGACTTGGCACATCTTGAGACGTTGCCAAGGCATCCTGACATGCCTGGAGAAAGAGTTACTTTCGAAATCGGCTATGAAGGCCGCAGGATGGTTGCCAGGACCCGTCCGTCGTTGGGCACATGATGACGCATGTAACGGCATGTACATGAGGAAGCAGGAAGATTTGCGATGCTTAAGCTGCTTGAGGAATGTTCGACCATTTGGAGAGGACAAGCACACACAAGCTGTCAGAACCCCAAGCGTTAGCAGCTACCTGGTACATCAGGCATATGTGCACAGGCAGTTGCTGGTACTGGTACCTGTCAGGCCATGGTGGCTAGCAGCAACAGGGCAAGATATGAAAGAGGATACGACGAGGAGGTGCCACAGCATCTTGAAAGCTGTGCTGCTTGATGCTGCTTGCCTGTGTGGTTCAACTTGGAAGGACACCAGCCGAGACTGGCGCGTTGCTTAATTTTGTAGTTCATCTGACGGCTTCTTGCCTGCGGCAACCATGACATCTCTTTGAGGAACTGCCCGTCGTGCAATGAAAGAAATTTCTTGAAGCGCAACGTTTGCTTCAAGTGCCAAACGCCGAAGCCGATAGTTGGAGGCAAGGTGTGCTTAGGTGCGTTCTGGCCGACTTGGACCAACATTTGCATCATCACGAGCGCCACTTCCCTTCATGAAATCTTTCTGGAATTTGGGAGATCCTGCGGGTGGCCCGGATGCCCCACCTCCTCCAGCGCCGCGCCGCACGTCCCGCACTCGGAGTTTCGTGCGTGGCATTGAGCCACGGCTGCGGCCTCGGGAAGACGAGCAATTCAAGAGCCATTTCTGGCAACCCTCCAGGTGTCTGATAAATTTCAGTGGAAACACGGTGCAAGAAATCCATTCGTTGAGGGTAGGGTGCCTTTTGCTTCTCAGCCTTCGTTCCCCGAGAAATGTTGTTTTTGCCCATTCCATTGCGCCAGATCAGACTTCCATCTTCCAAATCTCGGTCCACATCGAATCACAAACCAAGTCAAAACGCTTGGCTTGCAACAGGCCCACGGGCACCCTGGTACACGACAAGGGCTTGTATCAAAGAGTCGATGTTGCAACAGGCTGTTGTTTACCTGGACTACTGTTGTGCTTGCGCGTGTAGATTGTGATATTGGAAGTAGCGGCGGCTCAACACAATGTGTAGCGAGTACGATACCTGCTAGACGTGACGTACCACTTGTTCTGTAGGTTCGCTGCGCACGGTAAGCATGCATGAACTTGGGGATGGCCCCTTACTCCTATGTACCAAGGTGGTTTACGCACACATGTCCCTCCAAGGTTGCTTGTCCCCTAGATCCGACATGCCTTCTGCTTTTGAGCGGGGTCGGTTGTCGGTTGTTTCTAATCGAGCCCACATCTCCTACAAATTGTTCCTCGGCCCTCCCAGACCCACACTTGGAGGGGGCGACCACTTCCTAAACTACCTTGAAACGACCCACGAGAAATGCTCCAAGCCCAAAATGCTGTAAATACCGACAAAAACGAGCTTTGCAAACAAGTTTGGATATGGCTCCTTGATCTTGTGGTTGTTGGTTCCTTCTGTTTTTCGAGGTCCGGATTCTGGACCTCCATTTTCTCGATTTGAAATATGTGTTTGCCACTACAGTGTCTTCGTAGCATGACCATGAAAGAAAACCTCGGAAAAATGGTAGTTTTTATATCTTGCAAACTACGAAAATCTAAGAAAGGATAAGCTCCCATACAAACTAGATGAAACAAGTCACCAGGGTATTGTTTTACATGATAGTTTTGAATTCTTCCGTGGTCTTACATCATTTTGCTGCCATTTCTCGAGGAGGTACCAAAAAACCAATGTTCAAGGACCAAAATGCTGCAAAACCTCGAGGAGGTACCAAGAAGCCAGAAAACTAAATATTTTTAGAGACTACTCGGAGTTGGGGGCTCTGGGTCTCCAGATCGTTGGTTTTTTTGTGTTTATGGTACATCCTCGAGGTTTTGCAACGTTTTCCTGCAACTTCTCGAGGAGGTACCAAAAAAACCAAAGTTCAAGGACCAAAATGCTGCGAGGATGTACCAAAAAACCGAAGATTTAGAGACCCACAGCACCCAACTCCGCGTAGTCTCCAAATCTTTCTATTTTTTGGTTTTGTTGGTGCCTCCTCGAGGTTTTGCAGCATTTTGGTCCTTGAACTTTGGTTCTTTTATGAGGTTCACAATTGTTAATGCAACGAACAGTTCCCGGCTGCATTCCATGAAGAAGCAAACTTTTGATCAGCTGGAACAGCAGGTTTTCACCGCATGCTGGCGCCCGCGCCATCAGAGAGGTACCTGTGGATTCTTTTCCCAGCCCCGGTGCTGGCACATGCTGACATGCCTTTGGCGGAGGCTTTGGCTGCAGCGCGTGGAGCTCCAGTCGAGCAGGAGAAGCCCGGCAGCGAAGAGAGCAGCAGCGCGTGTGGTCCTCAAGGATCGGCTGTCATTGTTGTTGGCATATGTACGCATCCAAGATCATTCAAGTTAAGGTCTAGTGCAAAAAAGAAGAAAGCAAAAAAACACAAAAAGAGGCCTTGAAGACGTGTATGCTTGCAACTGTATGATCCTGTATGCAACGAGTGCACCTGATAGGAAGAAAAGCAGTTCTGGAAGTTCATCTAGCAGTCACGCCAAGAAGAAGGCTGGCTGGAGCCGTGTGCAGGGGATATTTGGCAGCCTCCTTGTCTGCAGGCCAAGAAGGCTCACAAGAAAAGCAAGCGCAAGCCACGATCTTAGCAACATCGGAAAGGGGTCACGAGGAGACTGCTCGCTGTTTCCGAGCTCAGGGTAGGCAGAAAAGGTTCATGCAAGCGCGCTGCAAGCACGCGCAACGTAGGATCTTGCGGATCTGGCGTCTGCAGCCTAGGAACCATGGGTCGTCATCCAGCGGGGACTCGGTGAAAAGCAGCAAATCAAGGAACATTCGGCGGTTTGGGTGTTTGGATGTGTTTGGGTGTTTCAGTGCATTGTGCATGGCAATAGGTCATGAGGTCATTAGGTCATTAGGTGAGGTCATTATGCACCTTGGCAGGAGCAAGTCCAGCAGCAGCGGCTGTGTTATGGAGGAGCCTGCGCATCAGCCAACGCAACGCCCTGATGCAACGAGACAAGTCAGTCAGTCAGTCTCTGGCCTCTCAGCATCCATGATGCAAATTGATCCGTTCTTTCCTTACACGCCGAGGCCTGCAAGCGGAAATCCCGACATTGATAGGGCCCGGGCTGTCTGAGCTTGTCGGATCGTGGAATGTCTGGTGGTTGCACTGTCGCAAAAGCCTAGAAACTCCTTGCCAGGCAAAGGCGGAGGCGCTGGAGCAGCTCCTCAAGCTCAAGCCACTCACACAAATCACGCGAGGAACAAGGAACTGCAAGGTTGTGTGCGAGGTACTGCAGAGTTGAAGCAGGTTCTACCGTGGACTTGTTTTGCGCTCAGTGTGACCTTGAGGTCTGTGGAGTCCAAAGAACAGAGAATGAAAGAATGGCGAGAGCTGCTCCGGCACTGGCATCCTGACAAGAATCCACACAGAATCGAGGCGCGTCGGGTTTGCCGCGCAGTTAGTTCGGAAAGGGCGCAGCATGAGGCTATGACATTCAAATTCTGCGAGTGAGAATGGAACACAGATCTTCGCCAGCAGCAGCTCCCCGAGGTGGCCACAGCGGTGTTCCAGTTCTTGCAGAAGGGGAAGCCAATGCTCGAGGGTGGGTAGCGGCGCTGGGGACTGCCACAAGCGCAGGGGACATTAGTCAGGAAGCAACGAAGCCGCGAAGCAGCCTCTAAAGCCTCCGTGACGGCTGGGAGTCATCAATGCACACAGTTACGTAGTCCAAAGGCAGATAATTAATAGTAAGGCAGCCCGAAAACCTCGGATGAAAGAACGGTGCTCATCCATACGTGTAATGAAGCCCTGAGATGTGCGTTTCAGATGATTGCCATGCATTTTCTCTCATAGCTTGAACTTCCTCCTCGTTGCTTGGAGAAATGCTTGGCGGGACACTGCCACGGCAGACTCGCATGAGCCTGTGGCCCGAGACTGAGATCGTATCAGTGTGAGCTTTCGTGCTCAGGATCTGCTGTGTCAGTTTGGCGACCCTTCGACTCTCGCTTTCAAAGACCACTTGCAGGTGCAAACGAGAGAATGCACGAGACCACACGTACGTGCTGTGACATGTGCTGGCAGACCTCGCCAGGCTGCAATCGAAACGATTTCCCGGCACAAGCTGGATGGCCTTGTTCTGGTGGGAAATGAAGCGAACCAGGTTCGCACGACTCTGGACAGTTTTTGGTGTTCTTTTCCGTGAACGTGCAGTCTGTTAGTGTGCCACATATCGGTACTCTTGCATGCCGGTTGCCTTTCTACAAGGGCTTGTTGTCTTTGTGCATTAGCCTGCGGGTCTCAGAGACTCAAAACGGGCACGGAGGTTGACTCAGCGTTCCTGGCAGAAGTGCCCTTGCTGCAAAAAAGAAAAATGATAGCCTGGCGAGGCCTCAATGTAATACTCCACCAATATGCTGGAGGCATCCTGGTGTAGTGTTCCCCAATATGCTGGAGGCATCTTGTAGTGTAATGTTCCCGTCTAAGCATGCGCTAGTGAGAATTTCGGACCTATCAAGCTAAATTGTGTTCGACCGCTCTCGGAATTGATGGAGCATGATGGAGCTGTCCTCTACCATATTGGACTTCTGTGCATGTCCAGGCCTGTGCAGCTTCTCGACTGAGTACCAGAGTTATCGGCGTGCCTGTGCCCTCCTGGTTGACATTGTCCAGTGTCTTTAGACCGACAAAAAGGGGGCAGGTCCATTGGAAACACTTGGCAGCAATACAAGCAGAGCAATCAACACAAACACCAAGAAACTATGCAATGAGCGAGGCCTGGTGGAGGGAAGGTAGAGTCTAGGCAGAGTAAGCCAGCATAATCGATCAGAGACGTTTGGGATCAGGGCCTGGGAGCGTGGAACGTTCTAGCAATCGGTCGCTTTCCAAAACAGGGTTAACTAAGCAACAGCTAACAGTAAGGCCCAGAGCGCAGCATGTTCTTCTTTAGCACTAAGACCGACCAGCTGTGGACGAAGGGAACCAAAGGAAAGCTTCAGTCCCAAACGCTCGCGAGAAGAACCCGATTCCGGGATGGCCCGCGCCCCAGATCGCCCCCCTTCGCTCATCCATCCCGAGTCCAGCATTCGTTGTCTTCGTGGCCCCAGTCGGACCCTGCAGTCGTGCATCCTTGCGGTGCTGCCGGAGGTGGTCCGTGCCGGACGCCTTCTGCGTGCATCCCATAACCATCGTCTGCCCCGAGGGCCCAAACCCTGTACGTACAAACTGGACCTCGACACCTCAAGCAGCATCTCGGAACTGGAATCGGGCAGGTCATTGCATCCCCGTTTCGCTTGCAACTTGCAACTTGCAACATGTTGCATGTCGGTTCTGGAATCTTCGGAATTGGGGCTCAATGTTCGGGATGCTTGCCCATGCGCACACATCCATATCACGTGCCTTCGTGGGGGATCCTGGAAGATTTTTGTGCTTCACGGTCGGCGAACAGGAGAAGCTTGGGCTTGAACCTATTGCAGCTGGAACGTTCTTGGAACCACCGCGAAACTGCAGAGAGTAGTTGGCTTGCGTGGCCGGATCAAACAGAAGCTGCGAAGCTGACATTTCGAATCTTTCCGCACCGCACTCGCCTAGCTTCCGAAGTGAGAAGGAGTGGCTATGTTGACACACGGCAGCTTCAGCCATGCATCCTGAAGCATTGTGTTTTGCGTTCGGAACTTCTGTGAGGCTTCTTTTTTTCGAGTCTGCAAGCATTCCGCTCCGGGCTAAACGGTTGGCACAGCCGGCATGCCTAGCTAGGTAATTGGAGGTAATTGGTGGGTGATGGGGACGGGGGAAGGGACAGCTGGTTCGCAGACACAATGCACAAGCACGTCGCCCTTGCAAGCCAAATCAGGAGATGCCGTGTCATGTCCTCCACCCGTCGGCTGCAAGACAAAAGGCACCAACGACCCCACGACATTCTTACGCATGGCAACCACACAAGAGAATGATTTTAGAAACGCTCGTGCATCCGCTCGCCTGCCATCTATGTACGACTACAAGTAAAGTTCACAAATTTACAAAAGTGTTTCGTTCTGATTAGACTCCGCCAAACTATTCGCAACACCCCTAGTGCATCAACAGCGCTGGCCTAGTTGCTCCTCCTCCAGTGTGTTCCTTGAGGAATCGTCATCATCGGCATTGCCAGTGTCACTGTCGTTGTCGTTGCTGTTGCTGCTGAGTGATACAGAAAGAGAACATAAGAGAACCAACTCCAACGGGTGGTGTGTGCACAATGCCTGGAACCAAAGCATCCCAACGTACAGGGCAAGAGAACCGAGAGATAGCCAAGAATGTGAGCGGTAGAAAGCAGTGTTCCCGGGCCGTGCCCTGCAGTGTGTCTGGGCCGTGTCTGAGCTGTGCATCTGCAAAAGTGCAAAGAATGTCGCGCCAAAGCCCGAGACCATAGGATTTTTCATCCAAACCTTCACTTATCATGTGCCAACCAACGACGGTTGAAAGCAAACACATATTGCTGCCATCAGGTATCCTTGGACTGCAACTTCCCGTTCGTGCAGCAGACAATCGGCTTTGACACCGTGCCTCGAGTACAGTGGTTAATAGTTCGCATTAGTTAGCATAAGTTAACATGTAGTTAGAACATGTATTGTGATACTTTGTGGATGTGCACTGCAGCTCGGGGCAGACTCCAGGTGACACGAACTCTGTCAGCCTTCATTGGCACAATCGGAAATCTTGTAAAGACTTCGAGGACCCATGCAGTTGAGGGCATGCCGGCCAATATGTGACAAGACTTTGTGCAGGAATATGTGGATCTTCGTCCGGACTATGGGCGCCTTTGCCACAGATTGAGACATTGCATGCGGTGTATACTGTTCCGCATGGAGAACTACTGGTAGCATTTGCTGCAAATGCTGCCTTATAGCATCTGCGAGCATGCACATAGACCGAAGGAGCATTGCAACATGTTGCAACGTGTTGTGTACCATGTTGGTTTTAGCCCGAAAGGATTCCGAAGGTGCATGGTGACTCTGCCGTGCTACATTGGTCGTTTGAGTTGTGCTGCTGGTTTGTGCTTTGACATATTTCAAGGGCTCACCTGCTATCCCTGACTACTTGCCTGGTTGTCTTATTCCATGACTGTTGGCTTTCACTTCAGAACTGCAGCAATGCATCCTTTCGCCGGTGGCGGCCATTGACGTAGGGAGCACGGCACGGTCCCGCCAGTCTCAGGATGGCGAACTGTCGGGAAGCCGCGGAATATAACAGCCCGCTCTCCGGCGGCACACGACGGGTATGAATACTCTATCCGCGCCATGCCATTGGAAAATCAACACCGGCAGCGACAGCCGCCGACGGCGCTGCAAGAGATACGTCTGCGATACCAGCTCCTTCAAGCCACAGAGTTTTGAATTACGAATCGCTTAAAGGCTATTTTGACAGCTTGTAGGTGTCGTTAGTCGAAAGTCCATGAAAGACGACTACTGACATCGGCCGCAGCTGTCGGTTGAGGATGGTTGCGGTCGCAATGCGGTTCGCCCATCGACCCTTGCTCTCCCCCTCCAGGGTCCACAGACTCTTTAGTACGTATTCCTCAATGAACCCAATACGGGAACATACAAAAGACGCCTGGGACACAGAAGGGAACCCCTTTGGTTGAATGGGTCTCAAGCTCACCTGCCGTAGCTTCCCTTACACAAACGTAGACTACCCTAAGCCCCCAGCCCTGGTGAAGAACCCTGTAAGCTCTAAACACTCACCCTAAACCCTTTCTATTTCCTTACGAGCTTGTCTGGTGCTGGCGAGGGCAGAAGACGTGTTACTATGCATGGAAGTCGCATTGGGATCTCGATCAGTGAAAGGAATGTCAAAGATGCTCCCACAAGCAGCCGTCAATTGCCATACCATACCTTTCATTGGTTACTTGGCCACGGCATCTTTTTCTCAACCCTTGGTGGGCTGTATGGGCATTCTTAAGTCAACCTTTCTCCTCGCCCCTGAGTGCCAAAATGCCCAACACCAGAGGGGCCTGCAGACAGCCCCGGCGAGTATCCGCAGGGAAATTCCAGAAATCTGCACAGAGTCCCACCGAGCACCCCCAAAGAATCCCGCAGAGAGTATCCCTAGAGTGCCCACCTCCAGAGAATTCCGCGGAGGGTCCCGTGACAGAAGCCTGCGGCGAAATATCCTTAGCCTGTCAGCGGCAGGATGGCCCCCAAATCAGTGTATGGATCGAAGTAAAAAATGTGTTTTTCTCCTTGTGGCCTCGTTGCTAAGCGGACATATCATTCTCGCACATGCAACGGTCGGTTGAGAGCTGAGCCGCGCGTGAGTGCGTCGCTGGAAAAAATGTCAACCATGATCGTGATCCCATTAGCGGAGCTGCAAGGACTTGAGCCACGGGAATCGGGAGAGAAATGCGTGGGAAGTTACGGAATGTGTAGAACGAAACTGACGCGCACAACATCCCAAAAGTATCCCAAAGCATCTCGAAAGCGTGGCGCTCAATTCACGGTATTTCACTGTCCCACACGGTGTCCATCGTCCAGGCGATGCTTGGTCACATGTAGCGGCGGCGGGCACAGACTCGGGGCCAAATTGCTTCTCTGTGTTCCTTGGCTCCCCATCTTGTTTAGACTGCAGACATTTTTCTCCAAGGTACAGATCGCACTGCAAACTCACGTGCACATGGCAGCTCCGTTGCAATATCATCGGCATGTGCAGAAAGATGGGTCCTTGTTCTGCCAGACATATGGTTTTAGAGCAGTGTTTTTGATTTGGCATTGTCGTCGAGGTGCTCCTGTCTGGTAGTCAGCTGTTGGGTCAGTACTTGGTCAACATCGTCTCGCCGAGAGCCCAGACGGATTGGCTGGCATCAAATTGACCCTTGCTGCATTCGGATTATTGCAATATCATCATAAGGTGCCTTTGTGACCTCATCGTGAAGCGCCATGATGCAGGCGCAACTTTCCGGAAGCCTTGCAGCATCTTGCACCTACTTTCTCAGCAATGTATGGATGCCGGGTGTACGGGGGTTTTCGATTCGCACAGAGGACCAACACGGAGGATTCCCATGAATCTCGGTCTCATCCATGACGGCCAGGATACTCTCGATAGCCTCGACAGCCAAGTTCTTTGATCGGAGACGGGGCAAGTGCCGAATACTTCTCTTAGCGTCAGCATACCTTGGCTAGCGTGGGGGATGCTTTGCTGGGGTGGCCGGGGGGCTACTTGGGTCCAGCCGTTCGCCCTTGAGTAGCCCGGAAAAGGTCTTGAGTCCAGCATTGGCAAATCTAGCTTTGTCCACTTGCGTGAAAGTTCCACTCAGGCAGGTCGATTTAATGGTCTGAACTTCGTCATGCAGCCGGCAGACTCGCGATACTCGTAGTTCATGCCATGATTCCTCCTCTAGAACTGCTTTGCCAACTCCTTCCTGAACTGCACCAACTACAGTGGAGATAATGATGAACGGTTTCAAAAAACAAAGTAATTGCCGAATCGGCGCCACCTGTGTCACGATTATTTCCAACGCACAAGCCAGAAAAGTTCTCTGACTCAAAGGTCTGAGATTTCAATATGACCATTTTCTGACCGTCTCGTCTTTTTGTTTTCTATGGGACATGGGGGGACAGTATCCCAGGGCTCAAAAGAGAAAGAGTTCTGCTCTCTTTTCGGGATCTCTCGAGGCTGGTTGACCCGCTTTGAGTGCCCGCTTTGAGTGCCCGGTGTGCCCATAGCCCCCCCTCTCTCTCCGCCCCTCCTTGCCTTGCTCCCCTAAACTCAATTTCTCTCTGGGCCCCCAACCCACCCTTCAGGCCCTCTCCTGTCTGTCTTTGATTCGTGTGTCATGTCATGCGAAACTTTTTGAGCGAGTTGACATGAGTTTACGACTGATCAATCCAGTTTTGTGTGTACAGAGTCTTGAAACCCGCAGTTCGAGAGGATACCACCTTTGGGTAAGCCGGTTTATGTGGAACTACTGCGCGTGCGGCATTGACTACTGGCTGGTCTGCTGCCCCCTACACGTCCCAACATAAGCTGATAAAGCATAGTGCGCTGTTTTCAATCTCTCGTGAGTCGGATGCGGGATTTCGTGGCCAGGGGAGGACTACGGGATCATCATGCTCCCCGTCGGGTGAGAGCCTTGCGGAGCTCAGCTTGTGATGAGTCTTGTTGACGTAAAGGGTTTGCAGGAGCCGTATTGAGGAGACATGACACCTTATAGGTTTGTCAACGACATCCTCGAGCTTCGCATCTTGTTTGCGGAGCTTATGGAGGTGATGTCCAAGGACCATTACGAACAGAGCCGGGCGCAGACAGTTTCTCCCTTTGAACTAACTAACCAGGTATCTTGAAGCAATAGTTCCTGCTGAGCAAAGGTTGGGAGTCCATTCCCAAGATAGCTGCGCGGCTAAAGCCAGCAACAGTGATGACCCCGGGCATTGGAGCACTTAGTGGTGAAGGTTCCAGCATGATGCCGTGAGGCTGCATTGTTTGATGTCATCCCGCGGGATGTGCAGTTCGAAATCTGCTTTGGTGGCAGAGAGAGGCGTGCTTGCATAAGATGACCTGCAGTCTCATAAGCAATCTCTTCCTAGCGCCGCGGCTGATTGCATGCGAAAATTAAGCCTAACTAAGCCTCAGCAGTCCAAGCCGTTTCAAATTGCAGCTGGGAAAGGTACATGAACAAAATCGACTTCTCTACCATTTCCACCGACCGGCTCTTGCTTCGCTTTGTATGTTCCTAAGAGATTTCCTGACAGCGTCGCATATTCGCCACTTGTACAACATCACATTCCATTCTCAGGTGGAGATGGAGCTGCTCCGGCGTCGACAACTTGGCCACATATCTAAGGACAGACGAAGTGAGGTTTTCCCTGTTTTTGGAGGTTTCTTGAAGTACTTGAAGTTTCTGAGGTGTGCTTTAATGCACCCGATGTACTTGTGTTTCGTGTTGAAGGTGTCTTGTGCTTTCCACCACAGCTTTTCGGCTGCGCAAATTGGCGTAGCAAGCGCCATGTTTTTCCATAGTCCGCCATGCCCGAGCAGGCAGGGACAGCTAGGAACGTTTTGGGAGTGCTTTCAAGCTTAGGGATCGTAGGTTCCATCAGCTTCTGTTCTAAGGAAGACAAATGGTCTGCCGTGCCTCTATTAGCGCCAACAAGGACATGCTGTGAATGCTCCAAAGTGAGTGTTGACATTGACGAGCTCCACACTTGGACGGATGATCAGGGTACAAGAGGGTTTTTTGGGCCATTTGCGTGCATGGCCCACGGCTGATCACAATTCCCAGGTGCACCTCCCAGGATCGACGAGGAAGTGCTTCTGAAGCGTTTGCGCTTGCATGGTTGAAGGACCTCCTTGTCAAAGGGATTAGCCTCAGATGCGCAGTTCTTTTCTGCACTCAGAACTAAGAAGGCAGCAGGTGAGAAACCATGTAGGTACCGACTTCAGCTTAAAAGCCAATCAGACGGGACCATATGATATCCATCACTTTTTGTCATATGGCGATTTCATTTGAAAGATCTCGAAACCCAAGAATGAATTGCTTCCAAAACCTGGCCTGGCAGATGTACAAGGGTCATTCTGAGAAAGCCGCTCTTATCTTCGGCGCCTGTAAAGGTGCACACACAATGGCAACCGCCCTCCCCGACGAGCGCCCTACCGCTTCCAATTCTAGCCTTTGGTAGGGTTCGGTGTTGGAGAACCTCGATTCAATTTAATCTGTGTGCGGATGGTGTGCGAAATGGAATCTGGAGGGGGGGGGGTGTGGGGGGGGGGGGGGGGGGTGGTTGACCTTACGATTCCATTTTGACTTGTGCTGAAACATTCATGCGGGTGGAAACCACAGTCAGACCGAATATCAAAATCTGATGGGTTGGGACAAAATGAACAATATCAAATGGAATGGAGAGGCTTGAATACCTGGACAGCTTCCCGACTTTGGTTTATCTGCATCGCTGTCACAGATTTCGTGGGAAACCGTGGAGGATGTGCTTCAGGCTCAGGCTCTTGCACGACGTAATGCATCGTGTCACACGAGAAGACATGTACGGAAAACGGAATCACACAGGGTGATCCCTCGACATGTTGCTTGCAACTGGATTCTGCAGGTCGACCCCTTTCGGTTCCGTATATGTATGTGGGACTTGAATGCGTCGGCCGTGCATTGAAGGGGCAAATAACAAGTTGCGCTTTCGGATTTCGCCCTCCCAAGATAACTGGGTGAAGGCATTCTAATTGGATGCACGGTAGAGAAATGGCAGGATGAGGCCTCCAATGAAGACATCGCCAGAGTTCTTACACAGCTGTTGCTTTCACGACCAGATGTTGAGCCCACCATGTGCCCTGGCTGTAAAACTCGGTGACTGAGGGTATGCAGGTCGTAAGAAGCAGCAGTCAGATTCAGAGAGCAAAGGCAAAGTGCACACCGTTTGCGTTTAAGGCTGGCAGTCCTCAACTGCGTTGCAGCCATTCCCGGCGAGTTTGGCCGAAGGGCACGTGGAGGTCTTGGCGATCCGCCGGGGATAATCGATCACACCGAGGCTGGCATAGGATTGTGCGGGCAACTTTTGAGCTTCTGCAAGATGAAGCCGTTGGAAGAGCGTTGGAAGGTGTCCCCGGATATCCCGGTGGTGCTGCAGCCGAGGCGCTGCAAGTCTACAAGATGAACACTTGTGCCAAATTGTGCCAATGTCTGCTGATTTGTTCAGGCTGCGGTTCGCCACGTGCAACTATTTTGTGGGTGAGGAGGAACTCAAGGTTGAGATACAGGCAGACATGGATGAGAAGGCTTCCGGTTTGAGCATCCAGCTCTGCAAAGTAGGTCTTGCGGTCCGGCAACCTGGACTGCGAGCTCGCAACTCAGTCATCGGATTTGTTGCGCGGTTCGGACATGTTTGGACATCCAGAACCCTGCAAATGCAGGTCCAGAGTGCAAATGTACACGAGGGATTTATCTGCCAAGGCCAGAGCTTCCTCACGTTCCAGTATGTTCCAGTGCTTCATGTTCCATTGAAGAGTCCTCCAATTCCTATGTTTTTGGCAAGCGTCTTCCGTCATGTCATGGCCGTCCAAGGAAGTCCAATCACCAATTTGCATCAATGGTGTCTCAACTTGCTGCGGGTTTCCAAATCCCCCAGACCTGGCTTATCCTGGATTCGCCTGCATTGACAGGCCATTGTAACTTGCGAGCGCTGTCCGTGCTCCGCTCGAATCCAACTCGGCAAGCGTTGCTGCTTTTAACCTCGGAGAATTATCTTGATTCGGCTATGCTCACCAGTCTCTTAAATTGAAGGCATCATCGGGGACGCCCTCGCTTAAATGACAATTCAAGCCACAACTTCATCAGTTTAAGAAGAAGTTCTTGCCGGCAGGATCCTCTTCATGATTTCTCATGGAAAACGGAGGGGTATGGAAAAGTATGTACAACAGGACAACGGAAGGTGCATCGTGCGACGCTGTTCGAGACACATCAAAGGCATACCTCTCTTCAGGATGTGCTCCGTCCATTCTGAAGAGTATTTTTCAAGCACGTGCCTTGCCCGAAGGAATTCGAAAGATGTACGTGAAAGGGGAAACAGACTCCCTCCCCAGAAGAGCTGGGAAGAACAAACATCACCATCATGGCCTGTCAGCCCTGGCAGCTGACCGCTACTATCATGTATCCTAGCCACTTCCGATGTGCTCCAGCACATTCCATCGCGCAAATCCAATCATTTTTTTTTGTTTTTGTGTGTGTGTGTGTGTGTTATGCCTACGCCTGACTTAGCAGAGTATGCACGGCGATGCATCGCCTGCTTGATAGCTCAGCCGCCCCGCCACTGAGCTTCAAATCAGTGCCGCAGCAGGCCGGCATTAACTATGTGCACGCGAGCAAAACGCAGATGCCTTGGACTTCACCTTTGCTGCCCTCCAGTTGCCACCCTATCGTCATTGCTCGGCATATATTTGACACTGGAGTCACGATGATCCGAGGCTTGTTTTCAAGCCGCAAGCAGAGAACGTCCTTTTGAGCGTGGAACTGATTGTGCTTAGCTGAGCCTGTCAGGGCTGCGTTGCATTGCTTGCGACTTGCGAATCTTGCAAGAGTTGCTTGAAATTCCTCTTTGGGCTTTCAGCTGTTTAATGTGAAACAATGACTTAGGCAAGCGACGAGTGGTCACCAACACTCGAGTTCGAGGTGAATTTCACGAAAACTCCTTCATGGCAATTGCATGAGCTGCGACTTGACCGCACCACTTGAGCAGTTAAGGTGGTACTGGACCCCGCAACGACAACAAACGCGGAGTTGGATGCATATGGAGCCCGCTCCCGCGTCAAGATAGATGACAAGGACCTGTGGGAGATGGGCCTGAGCTCTAACATCAGCTTCGACAAGCTTCAGCGATTGGTCTGGGCTGACGACAGTCTGTTTCTCACTTGAGTTGTAGGATGCCTTTCCTTCAAATGTCGTCGATGTGCGACAGCTTGCCAAAAGCCTGTCCTGGGAGCATCTAAGGCCATGTCTGACAGTAGCTGTCAACAGAAGGCATATGAGCCCACCTCAGCATCAGGAACCTTTCCCTGCCAACAGGCAAGCCCTCGAGAATGCTCCTTTGCTGGTTCTGATGGCCGAGTATTTGAAACTGAACTTCCGCAACGAGATTGTGCGGAAAGGCACGGTAGCCAACTGCTGCACAAAGGCATCATATCTTTTCCCACTGACTGCCTACATGCTCGAGACCTTCGTACAGACTTGCACAGGCACTATCAAGATGTGCTTGCAGGGCCAATGCCATCATCTCTATGGCATCCTGAGGCCGATTAGTTTCGGACTGCCTTGGGATGTCCATGATGTCCTCAGTGTCAAAATGAACGCCGTGCGTCCTTAGGCTTTTCCTGAGCGTGCTGCTGGTGGACAGGGTGCTGAAAGGTAATGAGGAGGATTTGGTGACTGTCACGGAGTCCTACAGCGAGTGGCTGTTCCACAGCCGCTCCGCACTCAGTGTATCGACTTTTGACAGCTTGCTAGTGCACGGTTGCCGCTGCGTGGGTGAGGTCCTGGCATGCTAGTGCTCGTGATGAGTGGTATGCTGATTCCTTTTGTGGGCCTTCACTACCTCGACTTTATCTCGATGACCTGGAGAGTAGGTCGCTCTGCGCTCGTGTTGATGATTGGGTCGAGCATCTGCACATCGTGAACCTGACAGGTGGAACATCGCGTGCACAGCTCCTGTCAGCGCTCGTGCGCAGACTCTTACACTACGATGTATCTTCAAGGCTGGGAGAGCGAAAAAGCATGGGTCACGGACTTCAGGAGAAGAGGGAACGAGAGAGAGAGAGAGAGAGAGAGAGAGAATCTCACAAACAACAATGGACTCAAGCCCAGCAGCAGCAGCAGAAGAAGCAGAAGCAGAAGCAGAAGCAGAAGCAGAAGAAGAAGAAGAAGAAGAAGAAGAAGAAGAAGAAGAAGAAGAAGAAGAAGAAGAAGAAGAAGAAGAAGAAGAAGAAGAAGAAGAAGAAGAAGAAGAAGAAGAAGAAGAAGAAGAAGAAGAATAAGAGAGAGAGAGAGAGGCAGAGAGCAGAGAGCAGAGAGCAGAGAGCAGAGAGCAGAGAGCAGAGAGCAGAGAGCAGAGAGCAGAGAGAAGAGAGAAGAGAGAAGAGAGAAGAGAGAAGCGAGAAGCGAGAAGCGAGACGCGAGAGGAGAGAGGAGAGAGGAGAGAGGAGAGAGGAGAGAGGAGAGAGGAGAGAGGAGAGAGGAGAGAGGAGGAGGAGAGATTTTTTTTTTTTTTGGGAAGAGGGGAGAGGGGAGAGGGGAGAGGGGAGAGGGGAGAGGAAGGGGAGAGGGAGGGGGAGGGGAGAGGGGAGAGGGAG